ACGCGTGTGCTGTGAGAGGCTCTTAGGTGTGCTGTACACATGTTTAAAGATCATTAATTATTTTCCAAAGAAGTTCAAAGCACAGTGAGTATATTCTTTTTTTCACTCTTTTTTTATCAACATAATTTAAGTGTGCCGCAGAAGTTTAAGGGTAGGTTCAAGTGTGCCATGAGATAAAAAAGGTTGAAAAACAATGTTCTAGGGCACAGGGGCTCGCTCCAGACCTAGGGCTGACGCCTGCTGAACCAGCCTGCCCCATCTGCAGCCTGAGTCCATTGTCTCCTGTTCATCTGAAGGGTAGCCCCAGGGCCAGCCCACTGTGCTGGGGTGGGACCCCCGAGACACCCCAGGGCCCTGCCCAGGTGGCCTGTGCCCTGCTAGCAGCAGCTATTCCTTAGGCCCCACAAACCTGTATGGGGGTAGGTGTGAGCCCCAGGGCTAGCCAGAGGAGCTCAGAGCCTCACAACTCTTAGGGACACAAGGTACACTGTCTACCTGTGTCTTGCTTCCCCTCCAATGTCCTTGTCCCAGGTAGAGTGTCATTTCAGGAATGGGAACACAGAAAAATTTGTTTATTCTTCATTACAAGGTCTCTCCCCCTCATCTGGGGGGGTGGGTGGGCGGGCAGCTGCCTCCCTGCCCTGTCCTTCCTCAAGGCTCATTTGTTCGTTGCTTGGTTCCCTCATTCATTACCAAATATTCATGAACACCGCTCTGTGCTGGGCACTGCACAGGGTACTCGGATGGTTTATGGCGGAAACATCACTTGAAATAATAACTGCGCGTGACTCATCATCTCCAGAGTTCTTTCCATTCAGCCCTGAGGCCTGGGGTTTTGAAATCTAAAAGCCAGGAATTTGCTCCTGTCTACTCTGCTTTCTGCTAAGTCATTTCCTTCCTCAGGCGCTTGAGTAGAGGCACAGTGCTATTTCACATGTACCCATTTGACAGATGGGAACTGAGGCCTAGCAGGGAAGGGAGGGTCTCAGGGGGCTCCTTTGTGGTTATCTGCTAGGCACTCAGCTTATATCCAGATGTCACTGTGACCTGTGGGGCATTGTGGAGGGGGCAGAGTAATTGGCAGCAGCTCCCACCTACTGAGACGCCCCAGAGTGAACCCTTGAGCAGAGGCCTGAGCCTGTAGATTCGGCCCTCCCCACCCTCAGCCTCCGTGAG